GATCGATTTTTGTGAAATTCGGTATTAGGGGGTATATTTCGACGGGAAATTAGAATTTAAGGTCCGGTTTTCAAAATTCAAAAATCCAAGATGACGAACGTTGTCTAAATTGCTATCTTGGCTTCCAATCCATCAATTTTTGTGAAATTCGGTATTAGGAGGTGTATTTCGACGGGAAATTAGAATTTTAGGTCCGATTTTCAAAATTCAAAAATCAAAAATGGCGAACATGGTCTAAATTGTTATCTCGGCTTCCGATCCATCGATTTTTGTGAAATTCGGTATTAGGAGGTGTATTTCGAAGGGAAATTTGAATTTTAGGTCCGATTTTCAACATTTCCAAATCCAAGATGGCGGCCCCGCACGAAAACGCGGTCCGGACTCCCAGAACATCAATTTCTGTACAACTTGGTGAAAAAGAAGATTAAAAAACTGTGCGGGGCGGTGGCGGCTCGCGGAGCGAGTCGCAAGTTCGTCGCGAAGCGTAGAACTGGGGTCCAGGGGCACTCCCCGGCTAGACGTGTCAGCTCGCAAAGCGAGCTGATCACGACTAGTATCATTATAAATCTGGGCACGGTTTATAAAATTAAACAAAATTTCCTAGGTGATTACTTTTTCGAAACTTAAGTGACGGGAAAAATTACCGTCACACCCCCGACCCCCTCCCCTCCCACTCGAAAGCGGCCAACCTTGTTTTATTGTAACCGGATATCCCACGCATTGCTCCCCAGCTAGTTGAGTTGCCCAACCGGTCTGAACCCAAACTTCGAGTCGATCTTTCGATACGTTAGGGTTTTCCCAGGGAAATTCGTACAGATCCAACCTAGTCTTTAATACATTTTCAAGCTCTTGGAGAGCGCCTTCATTTTAGCTGGATATTCCACGCATTGCTCCACAGTTAGTTTATAGTTGTCCACCCAGTCTGAACCCAACTTCGAGTCGACCTTTCAGTACGTTCTGTTTTCTCAGAGGAATATTTCTTATATATCTGACCTTTTCGTATCATTTGCAAGCTCATTAACGTGGTACGATTTCAGAGTTCCATGCACAATCCATGCTCAAATTTGTTTCCTTTTTTAAGGTTGGTTCCACCTCCTGCACCCAACTTTTCGATCCTTAAGTTGAACGGTCCCCTTTTTTCTTTACTGCTGTGTTAACAGAAAGAGCCTCCGAATCAAATTTTCGAAGTAAAGTTTTCTTTAAAACTTCATCAATCTAATTCAAAGGATATGAACGATACCACTTGAAAAGTAGAGTTGTTTCGGTTTTGATTATGGAAACTTGGAAATTGTCTAGGAATATTTTTTAAAAATAATTTTCAAAATTGTTAGGTGCCTTAATGCCGCTCCCTTTTTACGCGGTAGCTCAATTCTGTTTTAGTGCCAAATAATTTGCACGTATCTTCGTTCCTCTGGCGTAAAAGCGTATCTCGATTCCCACGTGAGCCTTGTTCTACGTAAAAATTAATGCTTTCCGGAACTCATGCGGAAATCGAGGTGCGCTCTTACGCCAGATGAGCGAAGGTATAACACGGAGCTATAGGCGCTATTAGTGTTACATCACGGAAAAGCGATATATATCGATTTATCCTCATTGTTAGCATTGAAAGAGGTGATGTCGTTGTTACATTGTTTGGCTCCAAGTCGAAATAATCGAGAATCGTTTTGGTGACGTCACCACTATTGGCGCCTAAACGGAGAAAATGGTGTTTTTTAAGATAGTCTGGCAAGCAGAGCTCGTAGCGCAGTGCAGCTCAGCATAGGAACGGTGGGGGCGCGGGGGTGGGAGGGGGGGGGCGGAGACACAGACACCCCGATGCGGAGACAGAGAGGCACCATTAGGCAGCATTTTAACGCAATTTTTGCTCAAGTGGGTGCGCTACGGGGGTGCCTCTCGGCTACGGATAATCGCAAGTGTTAACCGCACCGATTTAGCAACGATTCCAGCTCCTCGTTGCCACGTTGTTCGACCGAAGCCGATCAAGAGATCTCGGAGTTGAAAACATGACGATGGCTGAAGTGAGAAACCACGTGTCTTGATCGCATTGTTTCAAAATTTCGGCTCAAATTTTATTTTTTCGAAGAGAAACTAGCCAACTTTATAGCTTGAAATTAGCTTGAAAAAAGTTCAAGGTGGCTGAGCCAATCAGAGGTGGATCCTCTAGGTGTCATTCTTTCACCATAAGTGTGCTCCAGCTCAAGCTGCTCTATTGCCAAAGAGAGCAGGGATTCCGAAAATAAAATATAATGTAAGGGAGTGCCGTATTGTGTACGCGAATAGAAATAGTTTTCAAAAAATGTTATTCAAAGTTAACGAAAATTATGAATATATTTATGTGCACTTTTAAAAGTTCGCGATTTCTTGAGTGGAAAATCCTGTAATTCTTTATTGGCACGTAATGTCTACTTTTTTATGTGCTATTTCTGAAATAGTTTCAAACTGCGGCATGAGGAATAAATTCTGTTCCAATTCGACCCTTATTCGTCTTGAATATTAGACATTTTAATACTTTCCCCGATTGCAATGACCTTTTAGAAGTAATTTTAAGAGCTCTCAAGAGAACCGTCAAAATGCTCGTTTTGGGAAACTCTTTGACTGTTTTCTTGAAACAAAATGAAACTGATGACGTTCAAAAGTCCATGAAAAAAAAGACTTTTTTTGATTTTTATAAATCATGTTTACTGTTGAAAAACTACAGTCGATATTTTTAGCGAGGCTCAACACTTTTTTACTTAAATCTCACACAAAATTTACCTACTTAAATAGGCAAGAAGGGTCTCCTAAAGTGAACACTACAACTGTTTTTTAACTATTGTCCTTTTAAAATTGAGGAGTTTTTGAGAGTCGTTTCAACAGTCGTTACTAGGGTTGTTCTAAAGATGACGGTGTCTCATCAAACCTTTTCCAAAGGATCAGTGCATACATATTTCTAAAAGTAGCATTTCAACAGTTGTCGAAGGCTTTTTCTAAATTGACAAGTGGCTGTTCTGTTGCTGGTGGCTCGTCAAACTTGCTCCAAAGAGTCTGTTCATCTATTTTGCTAAAGGACTAGGATTATTCTAAAGATGACGGTGTCTCATCAAACCTTTTCCAAAGGATCAGTGCATACATATTTCTAAAAGAAGCATTTCAACAGTTGTCGAAGGCTTTTTCTAAATTGACAAGTGGTTGTTCTGTTGCTGGTGGCTCGTCAAACTTGCTCCAAAGAGTCTGTTCATCTATTTTGCTAAAATCTGGATCATCCAGGCGTTTCCACGTCCGAATCGTCCGAACACCTCCCCAGCTCCCATCCTCAGTTTTCTCTAGAGTTGCCAATACGACCCTCGATCTCCTGGGCCATCCAGCCATCCCGTAGGCGTGATAGCCAACCCCTCCTGCATAGCACAAATGCATCTCGTATAAATCACCGCAGAAATCGTTCAAGTGATCGTGACCTGTGAAGATGGCCTTCACATCCCCTGCCTCCGCCATTGTTGTGAAGAGGCCTGAGTTGACGGATGCGGAGGAGATGTTTTCAAATTTCGTTCCTTCGGAGTTGTTGACTTGTCCGAATTCAGGGAGCGGGATGTGGAAGTAGGCGAGTGCGGGTGCCGATAGTTCCTGAGGCTCTGGTTCTTTTTTGTAGGCCTCCTGAAATGTGAACAAAATAATTCTTTGTAATTCATAATCATCACAGTAACGCGTAACGCATAACGCCCGAGTCGCGGAGCGGTCAGAGGGTGTGACCTCGTAATAGAGATGTTGCATGTGCGAAGAATTTGCGATTTGACTGTTGATTCTTACGCAAACGTTTGCGAGAAACACGATGGTGCCACTGGTTTTCTCTGAAATCAACTCCCAAGCTCAAAAACAGCTCCCAAGTTGAAGCCAAAATGGAGAGGATACCCCACGCTATCCTGAGAGTCCACCTCTACATCATGACATCCATCTTTGCATGGAGAGTTTTTCTTGATGTGGAGGTGGACTCTCAGGATAGCGTGGGATATCCCCTCCATTTTGGCCTCAACTTGAGAGCTTTTTTTTAGCTTGGGAGTTGATTTCAGAGAAAACCAGTGGCACCAGCGTGTTTCTCGCAAACTTTTACATATGAATCGATAGTCAAATCGCAAATTCCTCACACATGCACCATCTCCATTGCTTATTAAAGTGACAAACGCGCAGTTAAAACCCTGTCAAGACTGAAATTTGGTAGCGCGGTACATTTTATTGTGCATCATAAATAAATGTATCGTAATAAGTTTTTTCGAAAATCCCCCACCGAAAGATTTAAAAGCCAACATGTTTTTCAACGCAAATTATATAGTCCCTTTCAATTCGCCTTCAACTGCGTCTGCAGCAATTGTTGTTGCGATCATGTTGAGCGTTCTGATTTCAGCTGATTACATACTCGATTCTCTGAAGGCGTTTTATGTGCACAAGTAGCGCATTCTGTTGGAGAACCAAGAAAGATGGAGAAATTGAAAGAACTCCCTACTTCATTCTTTCTCCGGCAGAGTGCGCTACTTGCGGATATGAGACGCCTTCAGAGGGTTAAGTATGTAATGAGTTTAAATCAGCGCGCACAACATATTCGTAACAACAATTGCTGCAGAGGCGATTGAAGGCAAATTGTCAACAAATGAATCTCAGTAGTCCAAATCTAGTTGAGACACCAACTGACCGCTCTTAGTGAGAATTATGTAGAACTATATCGATGTTCTAGGCGCGGAAGCCGCGTATCTCCGTTTGCGACGTTGCAGACTTTCTGTCATACTCAGTGGCGTGGCGAGCTTTGCGATATATCGATTGTTATGCCATTTAAACCTATGAAAAAGTATCGAAAAAACACGGTATTCACTGCGAACCTCTCAATAATCGATTATTTACCATAGGTTTAAATGGCATAACAATCGATACATCGCAACTCTCGCCACGCCACTGGTCATACCTCATTTTTTCTTAAGAAAACTATTCAAAGTAATTTCTTGAAAACTGCTTTGATTTTTCCTCTTGTCAGCAAAACATTCTGTATGGATTCAAGCTATTAAATTGATTGTCTCTCTTTGATAAAATAAAAAAGGAGCGGAAATTTTGAAAACTAGTGCTGGAGATATGCGGTTTCGCACTTAACCATCGATCGCAAGGTGCCCAATAAGATTCTTACCTGGAGCTCGGCCGAAATGCGTCGAAACCAGAGCTGCTGGGAAAGCTTGACCCAGTCGTATCCTTGGATGATCGGATTGGTAGAGTAACTCCCACTGTCGAGGAAGTAAAGGTTCAGGACTGATTTGTTCTCAAAAGTCGAGCCTTTGACTCCTCCAACCTCCAGATTGTAGTTGCCGAAGCCGTCGATGGCCGATTCGCCGGGAGGGTTGACTCGAGACACGGAATAGTCCATCCCGGCGATTTGCTCCATTATCATCTTTTTGGATAAGGAGCCCTCGTCATCGTGGTTCCCCAGCACAGCAGCCCACGGGATCCCCGCGACAATTGCAGGGGCGAACGCCGCGTTCAGGGATTTTTCCGGGTCGGAGCTGTCGTTGCCGTATATATTGTCCCCTGAAACAACAGTTCACACAAAATAGCGGAAGCGGGAGTAAAATTGCACGGATTTGTCTTGATGATGAACATTTTTTTTAAGAAATTGTAATTACTTGCACTTTTAAACATTTCGGAGGGAAATCTGTACCTAAGTCTATATCGGGTTGCACAAGTAAAATGAAAAATACATTTTTTTTGTCAAATTTGGCTGGCTAAGCTTTATATGACATGGTAATAATTGCTTAAAAATTCGAGCTACTAGCCATAATAAACAAGTAATATTTCAAACTATGTGTAGATGAGAAATAATATGAGTACTTTGTTTCTTTGTAAGTTTTATACTATTTCTCATCTACATGTAGTTTGAAATATTACTTGTTTATTTTGGCTTGTAGCTCGGTTTTTGAAGCCATTACCATGAAATGAAAAATATGAAAGATTAGAAATTTTCATGAAATATTTCGTAAAATTTCACGAGGTTGTGATAAATATGAAACACATTATTAGCGGCTGAGAATACGACATGCACTAAAAAATACCAGCAAGTAAAAGCTATTACTTAGCATTTCATTTTAATTTGCATTTTATTTCGAAATATATTTTTCAATGTTTATCATATTTTTCGAAATTTCATCAAATGTTTCACATGAAATTCTAAGATTTTTTATTCCATGAACAAAAGCAATCTTGAGGGTAAATGGCGCTCAAGAAGTAAGTATAGGAAAATTGATGGGATACAACAACTTACCTGTAAAGACTATGAGGTCAGGCTTCTCGTTTTGAATTAATCGCTCTATGAAAGCAGTGGTGTTGAGATCTGTGCAAGTGAGGGCCTGCTCCTCATCCACATCTAAACACGGCGTCAGGATACCATCCGCATAGTGCATATCCGCTACTTGAAGGATTTTAAACTCTCCGTTCTTGTTGAATCGCAACTCTCGTCCTGATTTATGAGGTAGAACAAGCCTCTCTAGTGGCTGGCCGGTGGCCGAAGTATCAATGGGCACCAAACAAAGTAAAAATAGCCCTATCGTAGCATAGAAACTAAGGCGTGGAATTAAATGTCTACTCGCCGCCGTAGAAAAAACTCGTGGCATTTTCAAGATTTCCTCCTCCATTCCTCACGTTGGCATGGATATAACGGCTAAGAGGCGTTTTCTGACTGGAAGTTTGGAACAAGAAGCAGAATTGGTTTTCAATGAGAGTATACGCACGTTTGTATTTCGCCTTCAGTTTTTGAGGTAGGCCACACTTTGTGCAGCCTTTTCGGGGAGTTTCGCCTTGTGCTGTCTACAGTTCGTGCAAATTTTATAATTGTATCGTCACCCCATGAGCTCTCTGTTTTTTGGCCCAACTTCTGATTGTTGATTCGTGGATAGTATTAAAGTAGTAAATGACTCTCCAGTTATTTTATGTAAGTAGAGGTGCCTTAGGGTGCGTCAAAAAAAATGAAAGTCTGAAATGTTCCGCTCCCCAGGCGGCAATCGATGACGTTTGGTAAAAAAACATGTTTGCCAAAATTTGGGCCCATTTCAACCATTTTAAATGGTGCCAAAGGTCAATTTTGTGATGAAATTATGATATTTTGGTTTAGACCTCGATTTCGTACAAAAAACTCGATTTTACGCTGAAATCGTGCGTTTACGACAAAAATGCCAAAGAACTCGACTTGTAGAGGATGAAATTTTACACTAGGAAGACGTCTTTGTAACCGATAAAAATCAAATTGAACTAGAAAAACTCAACTCGGTATTTATTTTTTTGGTCCTCAGAATTTCCGAGGTCTTAGAAAGTAGAGGTTTAAAAGACTCATTTTTCACGAAAATAAGTCGAAAGAGGGTGTAAATGAACTGTATGCAAGTGTTGAGGATGCAAATGTCATCAGAACTTCCTCAGTTTCAAAAAAAGTTCCAACTATTTTGCACAATCCTCCAAAAAGTGCACGGCTCGAGAAGCAGGATCGTGCTATAATAGTAAGGGGAAAGTGCGGTTTGACCGGGAAAAATTGCGTAACAAACTTTCCCCATGTAATCGTCATCAGTAGGTCCCCCTGAACAACTTCCTAAAAGTTAAAAATGGCCCGACCCCGGAATACCCCTCAAAAAAGTTAAAATTGAAAATGGCGGCCGTAATGAGAGGGTCCGGGAAATCGGTATTTTAAAATGCTCATTCTGTCTCATCATGTGAGGTATCATTTCCTATGTAATTTTGGTCGTAGATTCCATGAATGAATTCCAAGGCCCCTTCTAAGCTTACGTTTCTCTCGGTAGTCGTATGTTTCCTTTATTTTCCTTTATTAAATACATTTATAACATCAAATTTAAGTTTCTTGGCCATAAATACATGAAAATAAAGACAATTCACTTTCCTTGTTCCTTCGGTGAATATTTAAAAAAATGCAACCTCCTGCCTTTCACATTTGGCCGCCATCTTTGATTTAGAGCGCCCCCTTTGGCCGGAGGGCCTTGTGGAATTCATTCATGGAATCTACGACCAAAATTACATAGGAAATGATACCTCACATGATGAGACAGAATGAGCATTTTAAAATACCGATTTCCCGGACCCTCTCATTACGGCCGCCATTTTCAATTTTAACTTTTTTGAGGGGTATTCCGGGGTCGGGCCATTTTTAACTTTTAGGAAGTTGTTCAGGGGGACCTACTGATGACTACATGGGGAAAGTTTGTTACGCAATTTTTCCCGGTCAAACCGCACTTTCCCCTTACTATTATAGCACGATCCTGCTTCTCGAGCCGTGCACTTTTTGGAGGATTGTGCAACATAGTTGGAACTTTTTTTGAAACTGAGGAAGTTCTGATGACATTTGCATCCTCAACACTTGCCTACAGTTCATTTACACCCTCTTTCGACTTATTTTCGTGAAAAATGAGTCTTTTAAACCTCTACTTTCTAAGACCTCGGAAATTCTGAGGACCAAAAAAATAAATACCGAGTTGAGTTTTTCTAGTTCAATTTGATTTTTATCGGTTACAAAGACGTCTTCCTAGTGTAAAATTTCATCCTCTACAAGTCGAGTTCTTTGGCATTTTTGTCGTAAACGCACGATTTCAGCGTAAAATCGAGTTTTTTGTACGAAATCGAGGTCTAAACCAAAATATCATAATTTCATCACAAAATTGACCTTTGGCACCATTTAAAATGGTTGAAATTGGCCCAAATTTTGGCAAACATGTTTTTTTACCAAACGTCATCGATTGCCGCCTGGGGAGCGGAACATTTCAGACTTTCATTTTTTTTGACGCACCCTAAGGTGCCTGAGTAAGCGTGTAAAAAATGCCACCAAAAGGCTCTCTAAAAACCCTATTATTGACTGTTTAAAGACAAGTTATATTGAAGTAAGATCATAACTACAACTATGAACTCATCATCCTTTTATCACGGCCTTTCCGTGCCAATCTGTGTTGTTCTCAAGGTCTCTTGAGAATTGCGAAGATGATCGACGTACGTAACAACGAGGAAGTTTTAAAATACACTAGGTAGACTTTATAGCGTTTTAGAAACTTTCTCGATAGTCTTTCGAAAATATATCAGCCAGAGAAGTCACTTTCCTTGCCCGTTCATTTTCATTTAGTAAAGTTGTAAGTCAACGCACTCTTTAGGGGTTTCTCGTGATGGTTTGTTTTCGTCGGGCTCGAGAATATCCATGAATGCTTTTACTGCCTATTGTTAGTTTCGAAGCGTCAGGTGGAAATCCCAATCAGGGAAAGGCACCGTCATAGCAATATTGCACCTGCAAGAGATAATACTCTGCTGAAAATGAGGTATATAATTAGAAAATAATTAACACCATGAATTCTAATAGAATTTTGACTCGAGGTCATGTTTTCACCGCCAGAAAAACCGGAAAATATAAAGAAATTCGACGTTAGGAAAAATCAGGGAGCTCCAAGTGCGTTAAGCATTTGCTAACTAAATGCATTTTAGCACATGAAAAACGGAAAAAAATATCATGCAATTCACTTAAGATGCTGGTGTGGAAAGTCAAACGAGTGTGAGTTTATTCGCTCAAAAAATAAGGGAATTTCATTCAAGATTTCAGGAAAAATCAGGAAAATATCAGGATTTGAAAGGAAATTTTAGTAGACACCCGGCAGAACCCCACGTAACTCTCTAGCACGTAGTTATTTTTTGCGCACGCGTTTCGACGGCTCGCACACTCCGGCATGCCCAGCGCGACTGCTCTATTGTTTCTAATTTCGTTTCTATTGTTTTATATGTTCTATTGTTTTCGTTGGTTCCATCGTAAAGCGACGTCACCGAGAGAGCGTCAAACTTGTAATAATTCTGCTTCAATATAGAACGAAAGCTTAGAAGCTTTAAAGAAGCAAGGTTACTGTCGTGAAGAGTTTCTGTTTTGAAAGCAAAGAAACAGCTGTTACTATGATATCAATGCCAACCGATGGATTCCCGTTTTACTTAGAAAATTATTTTCCCTCCATTTCAAGTGCGCAATACTCCTCGCATCCTCTCACGCCGCGTGAGTCACGCCTCTGAATTGAGGAAAATGTATTCAGTCAGCGAGCTTGTAGTTGATAGACAAAGCTACAGACAAGGAAGCCAAAGAGAAAACGGAGCAAACCTATTGGTTTAAACGGGTATGGACTGAGGGGAAAAGTGATGGGTTGTTCGTAGGGTCCCTCTTAGGTTGCCGTTAGTAATAGTTTATTACCTATTTATTTCCTTCGTCCGTTGCAACCACCCGCTTCCACCCATAAGATCGCTCCATTTTCCCGTCATTTTCTTTGGCTATCGTTTTGCGTATCAAATTCACGGATCAGCCCGCTGACAGAGCATGTTTTCTTCGAAAATGTCGGATGTAACGAAATGCATCAAACCGTCATAACACCGTCAACTTGGCACTAACCGAAGTGCAGCAATGGAGATGTTGCATGAGTGAGGAATTTGCGATTTGACTGTTGATTCTTATGTAAAAGTTCGCGAAAAACACGATGGTGCCACTGGTTTTCTCTGAAATTAACTCCCAAGCTCAAAAAAAGCTCTCAAGTTGAGGCCAAAATAGAGGGGATATCCCACGCTATCCTCAGAGTCCACCTCTACATCAAGACAAACTCTCCATGCAAAGATAGGGAGCAAATACATTGACAGGGTTGCCGTGTTTTCAGTTTTGGAGTCCCCAATTAAAGTGGCAACCCTGCTAATGTATTTGCTCCCTATCTTTGCACAGAGAGTTTTTTTTTTATGTAGAGGTGGACTCTCAGGATAGCGTGTGATGTCCCCTCCATTTTGGTCTCAACTTGAGAGCATTTTTCGAGCTTTGGAGTTGATTTCAGAGAAAACCAGTGGCACCATCGTGTTTCTCGCGAACTTTTACATTAAAATCAACAGTCAAATCGCAAATTCCTCACACATGCAACATCTCCATTAAAGATGCTCTGTTGGTAGCCTGAGAACCTGTTTCTTGTTTTTATAGCTGACCGAGTATAGGAACCATTATTACCGATTATTACTGCAATACTGCCAAGAAGCAAGCGGCGCGCGGTGATTGATTTACGCTCATCACTTGCAAATGAGGTTGGCAGTATTTTACAATTAGCTCCTTCGATCACATTTTTATTTAAAATGTGGATGAAGCTGAAGAGGACTGTCTGTTTATCTTTAATAAGTGATAATACAATTTCCTGCAACATTGAATTGTCAGCGTGTTTAATCGATACAGTGTCGCGATCTCGCGAGAATCAATTATAATCTTGATTATAATCTTTAATATTTATATTAAAGATTATATTTCGCGCGTTATAATCTTTGATCTTCTGTACAAAAGCACAAGCACAGCTTGTGTGGAAATGAGGGTTAATTAAATTTTGATAGCAGAGGCGGATCCAGCTGTTTGGCAACACTGGATTTCCTCCATCTAAACCTAAGTTAAATAATCGATTCTCGTCGGAGAACATGGCCCCTCCAAGAATCGATACATTTCCATAGGATTAAATTGAGAAGAACAATGTAGCCAATTTGCTGGATCCGCCAATGTTTGAAGAGAGGAACTTTTTAGCGGCCAAGCAAGAGCTTTTACGGAGCGGTTTCTGCGAATTTCGAAGGTGTCTAGCTCCGCAATTTTATCTCGAAAGCCATTCCATCGTTTTGACGGGCGGAACGAGTCCAGAGGAGAGGTGTGAATGATCGATTATCGATATCGGCCCATTTGAAGCTGTGGTAATGAATCGATTATTGAGGTGTTCGTTGCGAACACCATGTTTATCGATCCTTTTCCATAAGTTTAAATGGTAGATTTATCGATATATCGCAAAGCTTGCCACGCCACTGGACGAGTCGTAACGAATAATTAAAATTCTTACTTTGCTCTGACAGGTATAGTATACCTAGAACCGAATAAGTATCCACTCGGAATGTTGCAGTTGCCACCTAAACGTTACCTTGGGCCTGCTTCTGAGAAAACAGAAAATGATGAATAACATGCGAAATGGAACCGAGTTTGACTGAAACGAATTAAGCGGCATCCATTTTGACCTTTGAAAAAGAGGTTTAATGTTTGACTCCCTCTTGAGTCAAATAATTGAACGACTGTTCTTACCTGGGTGATATTCTTTCTCGGCTTTGAATTTTTGGCAGGAGGCAAGGTATGATTAGTTTGAAATTTTACACCTCTCAGAACTGCCATTTTTCAAAATGCGTCCTAGTATGTCTCTGTTAAAATCGATTTAAATGATCCACCCTTGGTAAATTAAATTGTGAAAATTTGAAAATTTCCTGACAATGTGGGCGTAACTACACTGGAAAAGATAAGCCCGGGAAAGTATGACGCGTGGTTCAGTCCTTTTTGTCATGGGGCGACGAAATCCTCTCACTACGAATGTCGTTCATCGCATTTACATACAGAAAGCCTCCGCTGGTCGAAAAGGGGCGATTTTTCTCTTACAATATTTTGGCGCGTAATCGAAGTAAAATCAAGTAATGGACCACTAGACAAGGTACGAATTTAAGTGATCAGATACATGTTTCTTGACCAGAATTTCACGTAGAACACGATTCACACAACAAAAATTACTGAAAACAACTCCTAACGAAGATATTAACGTTTTTATTTCACACTGGTTACGATAAATTTGAACTGCCCGCTCACAAGAAACTCAAAGCTCTACGCGAGTCAAATCGCGCACTACGGCGGTTTCAGCAAGTTTCTCAATCGAGCATTGTTCATTCCCCACCATGTGTTTTTCAAACTATAAGTAATTTGCTATAACTGAGCTAAAGCGTCAAGATTGAGGTTGCCAGATTTTTTTATCGCAGAGACGTTCATGACAACGTTTAGCGCGCGATGTGAATCACGTAGAGCATTGAGTTTTCGTGAGCGGGTGGTTTCAATTCACGCACCAAGAATCATTAAATATCTTCGGAAGGAGTTGATTTCGGTCATTTTCGTTGTGCGCGTCGTATTCTACGTGAAATTTTGGTGAAGAAACATATATCAGAATGCTGAAATTCGTGCCATGTCTAGTGGTCCATTTAGAATTTAATTACAACTGTTCTTTCGTGAAGTGTGGCGTATTAGTCATGGAAACCTCAATCATATCACTCTGCAATATTCTCTGGCTTCAGAGAAGTAGAATCAACTTCAATATATTATGACGCACACGGCTTTCTCGCCTTCAGATATCAGGGTAGGCCAGAAAATATTAAACATGCTGCAATAGTTATCTATTCCCGGAATTTTATTGAAAGTCCCCTGAAAATCTTGTCTTGCATCCATGGATGTTTCATTCCCACCTGACATTCAGATGACATCCCCCCTCCCCCAATTGCAGTCTGTTAATAGTTTAAATAATGTGATAATATTCTTTCATCCTCGAGTTTCTCAAGTATGGTATACCTCTGACCACTGATTTCTAGAAGTTCGTGCCCTTAAAACTTAAGTTTAATACATTAATTACCCAAGTGCGAAACAACGTATCTCCGTTTACGACATTGCAGACTTCCTGTTATAATCTATTTTTTCTTTTTAAAACCAGCCAACGAATTTTTTTTAAAACTTCTCTGATTTTATTTCTCTGTTGGCAAAACATTCTGTACAAAGTTCAAGCTGTAAAATTGGTTAGTTTCTTTTCGAAAAAGTTGTAGGAACGAGGATTTTGAAAAACCGCAATGAAGATATGTGGTCTCGCAACTTTATATACAAAGATTAATCAGATTTTAAATATTAAAGAAATGGAAATAAAAACTTCCGTAGTTATTAAACAGCTCAAAGGTACCTTGCTCCGTCGGAAATGCTAAAACACACAAAAGCACTATAAAACACCAACGCCAGCGTGAAAACACAACAAAACACGATATCCGAAGCTCAATCTCAGAGGTGACTGCACGAGTGATCCAAGCAGCAAGTGGACAGTGTCGGGATCGGCGCGAGAGAATTCTGTTTTACTTATACATATACGGAATCCTGGTCGTAAAAAAAACCATAAACAAAAGAGATGGATAAGTTGTGCGATCAACGGTTGTGGTCAGATTTATGCGTCGTTCAGACGGATAGATGGTAGCATACGGGAGAAAAATATCTGTCGGTGGGGAGAATTAGTTTCGCACCAATCAGCATACTTATCTATGCGAGGGAATGTCGTGCTCGAATGAGTTAATTCCCTCTATTGTGAGAGTCTCTGGTTTTCTACCGAATAAAACGACCTATGTCGAAACCGCCGATTGTCTGCGTCAAGTTGTTGGCTGTTTACCTTGTCTCGCCTCCTAGATTATGATCGTAAAACTTGTCAAGACATTCATGCGTTTAAAAAAGTGTCTCCTGTGTTCAACGATTGCATTCAAGTTCGATGCATTCGGTGGAGGTATAAAATAAGAGGAGGAGAGAGAAATAGAGAATACTGGAGAGGATGTTAGAGTCAGCGAATGCAGCGTAGTGCGTCGGAATCTACGATCATGTAAAGCATTTCTTATGATTGCCCAAAAACGGTTTTTTCAAATGCACTCTCGGATGCATTTTTGCTAAAGAAAACTGTGCACAAATAAATGAATACAAAGTAAATCTGCGCGTAGGATTTCTTATTGTTAGTTTCTTTTACTTTAATTTATTCGTTTACTATTCTCTTCACAACAAAATAGCCTAATTCGCGTATCTAAAGATAGAGAGTAAAATTTTACATTGTTGCCTTTTGGACCTCAACTCTTACCGTAATTTGGTGGTGGTCCATTCCAGTCGCTATGGCAAAAATTTTCAGCAGACTCACTATTATATGGACTGCATTTTGCTATTGGGAACTACAATGTTTGGTTCAGTTCAGGTTCAGTCTAAACTGAACCAGAAAGTCGTGTCAAAAAACGACGTATATGTACCATTAGTTTCCCTGTACGCACATGCACATGAGTATTTTTTACGGATGAGCTAGAAATTGTAGTCCTACTATTCCTAAGCAGAGATCCTAAATTTCTTGAAACTTCATCAATTTGAAATTTTTCCAAATCCTTCGTCAAGGACTCTGTTTGCGACAAAACGCATAAAAACCATATAATCTTGGATTTTGAAGTTTTTTCAAATGAAATACGAGTCAAATATCGAATCTTCTTATGGAATTCTCGGATCTTTGCCGCGGATCGCATAAGCAACCCCAAATGAATCGTTAAAAGGAGAGATGTCAACAAGGGCCGTTTTTGGGCCCACCAGTTATATTTCCTCAACCTAACAATAATTTATTCACTGAAGGTCTCTATTCGACGGAATGCATCACGATTTGGTCAATTTTCGGGTCTAATACTGGCCTATCCATAGATCTGCAGGCCGATTTCGGAGAAAAATTCGGACTTTCTGGCAAACCCTCAAAAATCGCTTTTTCGACTAAATCGCTCTTCAGAGTTCAGACCCATGCTTCCAAAGAAACTGAAAATGCAAAATGCTTCCGAATCATGATGCATTCCGTAGAATGTAGACTTTCAATGAGCCAAAAATCGTGGAGTTAAAGAAATTAAGTGTGCAGGCCCAAAAAATGCCCTTGTCGATACCCGTCCTCTCATGGAAAATGAAATTTTATATTGCATCTCTGTTCTCAACTCTTGAAAACGTGTTTTCGTCTTTCTGTTCAATCCCAATGAGCCAAAAATTGTGGAGTTGAGGAAATGAGGGTGGACCCAAAAAAATGCCCTTATCGATATCCGTCCTTTCATGGAAAATGAAATTTTATTCTGCATCTCCGTTCTCAACTCACCCTTCAATACGTGTCTTCATCCCCTCTGTTCAATTCCAATGAGCCAAAAATCGTGAAGTTAAGAAAATGAAGGGTGGACCAATAAATGCCCTTATCGATACCCGTCCTTTTATGGAAACTGAAATTTTATTATTGCATCTCTGCTCTTAACTCACCCTCCAAAACGTGTCTTCGTCCCCCTCTCTTTAATCCCAATGAGACAAAAATCGTTGAGTTGAGGAAATTAAGGGTGGACCAAAAAATGCCCTTATCGATCCGTCCTTTCACGGATAATGAAATTTCATTTTGCATCTCTGTTCTCAACTCACCCTTCAAAACGTGTCTTCATCCCTCTTCGTTCAATCAGATGCATCGGACTCCGAGTGCATCGCCAGTGCATCCCTCCCCGAGGCGCGCGGGATCCCGTCCGCCGCCGCGTCGAACGGTGGCGCCATCTGCGGAAATCACCCGCAACCTCACCTTGCGCACTTCAGGTGTCGCATTAGTGACTTCTCCCCCTCCGCCCCTTTCGACAGAAACAGCTTTCTGTTAACGGGGGAGGAACGGCCAGTGCGTCGGGGGGTCGGAGGGCGGCGGGCGGGGGGCCGGGGGGTGGTTCGGCACCCCCGAAGTCCGTTCCGCGCGGGTTTCCCGCGGCAGTGCCGAGCAGCGCGCCTCCCGCTCATCAGCTCGTGTTTCGTCGGATTTCTCTCGCCCCCGAGCGGTCCCAATCTCTCGCAGTTTGCCGGCTCAGCTCTCGCCTTTTTTTCGGTTTCCCTCCCCGCTCCTTCACCCTCGCGGCCGGGCTAATTTAATTCGAATTGATCAAGTGCACCGGGTAGTTTTTATCGAGTGCTTTTCTTACCTGTGTTCTTAGCGGTGACCCCGCTTTTGGCGTGCGATTTTAACGATTTGTATCGTGTGGATTCAAAACGACGGAGGTCCATTGATGGTGCAACTACTCAAGACATTCACGCTTGACTTTTTACTTGAAATTTTGGAAATCAAGTAATGTAAAATTTCGGAGTTCCTAAAATTTGAGTCTGATTACAATTTATCAATAAAAATGTTGGGATTTCGACAGTGGACGCGGTGATAGTAAAAAACATTTGCCTAAAATGTGTACATTTTTTTGAAACTCTGATAGTTTTGTTAGAATCCTTGAATATATATTGGTGTTCGGTCTGTTAAAGAGACGCAAGGGTCCTTCACACAAAAAATTCAGGAAACAATGTTGGGGTAAAAACAGTGTTCTTCCATCTTTTGAACCAGTGTGGCTACCTTCGGCTTTTTTCTTTTATGTTTTTTTTTAGTGAAATTCATTGATATTCCATAGTGCCACGACGATTCTAATTTACGGTATTGTTTTGGATTTGTTTTCAGTGCCAGTGGACTTGTGATTTCAACGCCGTTCAATTTGGATTATCCGATTATCAGGTACCTTCATCAGTTTATGCTTCCTATTTTTATAGCATTAAGAACCTTACATTTTACATTTAATTTACGTGTCCGGTTTAAAATTTTGAAATAATTCTCCGATCGAACAGGCTTTGCGAAAGGTTCAAGTTGGATTTTAAGAATCCAACAGGGTCTTAAATGTAGAATTATGCTTTTTGCAGACTCTCTGAATTTAAACTTCATGAAACATTTTTTGGAATGTATTTTATTACAAGTTGTTCTTTTCTGATATGCAAGCAACCCTCTCTTAATTTCAATTAGTCGAGACAGAAGTAAAATCGGTCACACAAAATTTCGGAAGTACTACGGATATGAAATTATTTCTGATCTTCGTTTCGCTTCCGGCTTAAATTTATTTTTTATATGCTCTTTTTTTACTTGTCCCATAAATCTAATTTTCTTTTCTATGTAATGCAAAGTTAAATTTACTTCGTCTCTCTCGAAATTCGATCCAGTTCTGTAGACGAAATTAAAAACTTAATATGTCCTATTCGTGAAATTGCATAATCCTTTCTATCTTTCCTCCCATTTCCTTCTTTATTGACGTGTAACAAGTTTCACGCCAATACTGAGGACCATTTAAAGGATGCCAACATTTTTTCTTGAAATTTCTTTTAAACAGAAAGGTGTTTTTTTTTCGTTTTCTCATAATTAAAACAGATGTTGACTAAGCGGTAAAATGAGAATATTTTATGAGAGTTTTTTTTTTTGTCTCAGGTATTAGAGCTTCTTTGCAAGATCTACAGTAATAATGGGTCAAAAATGTGTGATGTTTTTCATTCCAAAAGTTTATTATTATTATATTATTTTAATTATTCCAAGTGTTTGACATGCTGGAAAGGGGATGGGATAATTATTTTTAGCGCTAATTCAGTTTAACGCGATAAAGCTAATTACTCGCATGTACTCATTAACATTCTCGTATTTGATGGATCGAGTAACCGGGCCCATAAGATGTGAACTCGAATCGTTCAGCGCAGCGGAAAACACGATGTGGAGTCCAAAATATCGATTTTCGGTTTCCCATCCTAAATGCTTTTGAACGCCTACTCTAAAAATTAATTAAAACAATGTTCCAATATTACCATATTTTGTATCAGTGATGCCATAAAGTTATAAACGTCGGAAATGGATCCTTTCTCAATACGCATTAGCACCGGCAAACGTTATCGGTAATTTGTTTAAATTCATATTTTTTAGTTCTTTAGCTTCAAAATCCACTTCACTGGTTATTTACAGGAATTTTTGTGCGTTTTTTTGGCTCGTAAAATGTAAAGTAAACAGTGAGTAAAATGACCGATAACACACATGCGAGGCGAGCCAAAAATAGACACTTCAGTAGCATTTTAAACGTTAAAATACTGGTCAATTTCAAATTTAAACTTTTAAACAAGCTTTTAAAATACGAATTAGGAATACGTTTTTTCTCACGTGAAAATACCGCAATGAGAGTTTCCAAGTTTTTTGTCCATCTTACTTGTGTACAGTTTATCGGCAGATAGACTTGCATTCTAGGCTTTGGCCCTTGCTCCATGCATTCGAGTAGGTTGCATTTTAATTCTCGTTTCGCATCTGTATTATGGACGATTTTTAGAATTTAACGCAAAATTGACGCTAATTTTATTTTTGTATAACTTTTTGACGCAAATGTCGCCTAAATTTGAAGCAAGTGAGAAATGCAGAAAGGTGTTCATTTTTAGAAGATAAACCATAGTGTATACAATTGTTGAAATTGTCGTTAAAGAGGCGTTGGGAATACTTTCCTATCAAATACTAAAAACGACATAATAGAGGAAATTTTATGACTTTTACGAACTCCAAGGTACCTACATATAATTGGACGTATTTCTGCTGAACGGAACTGTGCATTAAGACATGAGCCTTGAGACCCATAAGAATATACGCATGACAGGGCTCACGCCATGATGCACATTGTTCCGTTTGGCAGATATACGTCCAATGGGCCTGTTGCAAACTTTTGCTAGAGCAAAACTAAGAGTTGTTTCTTACAGATAATGCCCTAAAAATCACGATGAGCGCATCGGCAAAGTCTGAAATTCACTCATAACTTCACAATCTGCGTAAGAAATTTGCGGTTTTTTGAGCTTCCCGCTTCGAAAACGATACTACGGTACAGGTGAACATTTTGTTAGAGGAGTCGTTCCATTGGCGGCAATACTCATCATGGCCGACGCCAGTCCGCCAAAACACGTGTGATGGGACGAGATAACACCTGAACAGGATTAAACCACATAACAATCGGCGTGTTTACGTTCATATTTTCCTCGCCCGCCTTAATTGACCTTGAACTCTCCTCGAATTACGCGAGGAACTGCGCAAGCGTCGGCCATGATGAATATTGCCGACGATGGAGCGACTCCTCTAACAAAATGTTCACCTGTGCAGTGGTATCGTTTTTGAAGCGGGAAGCTCAAAATAACGCAATTTTCTTACGCATATTGTGAATTTATGAGTGCATTTCAGACTTTGCCGATGCGCTCATCGTGATTTTTGAGGCATTATCTATAAGAAACAATTCTTCATTCTGCTCTAGCAAAAGTTTGCAACAGGCCCATTGCAGCTCCACCTTACCTCAGAATGTGATAAAATCGAAAAACAATTTTTCGGTTCTGAATGATCTGTGTCACAATTCGTCGTTTGAAATCCTCTGATATCAGAATCATTTTACTTTATAGGTTAATTAATATTGAAGTTTAAAACACAGTTTTACTTCCTCACTTTTCGTTATTTATCGGTTCCGTTGTTAATATTTCAAAGCCGAAAACGCTATACTTTGCGTTGATGCAATCAATCGTTTTCCGGAGAAAGGCACGTGACTCCATTTCAAGGTTGCAAACTTGAGTCAAACAATTCGATTTTCCATTACATTGTTACTATGCAATCTTTGTACAAAATTTGTCTGATTTTTGCATGAGCTTGGAAGAAAAATCGTGAAATTTTCGCTTAGAAAGGCGAAAGATTTAACGTTGTAAAAATGAAATTTGCGACGGGAAATTAGGCAACATTGAAATGTAGTTACGTTCTTTCGCGAGGGAAACTACGGATTGTTAGCGTCGTCCGGGTTGTATAAGCGAATTAATTGAAGGCGCTCTAGGTTCCATTATCTCCCAACGATGTGCTCTCCGTACCGTAAATGCCGTAATCAGGATCAAAAGAATACGGGCAGGCTGAGGCCTTGTTGTTCGTGCTTACGGACATTCGCGTGAGGAAATTAATGGAGTCAGATTTTCCGAGTGAATTATAAACTAACAACAAATCGGCCGTGTCATGATTAATTATCAGTTGACAATGAAATTAGCTGGGGGCAAATGTAATATGCAAATCAACGAAGTAAACATGGGAGACCGCAGAGGGTTTACGTCAATAACGCGATCCGCGAAAGTATCTGCCTATTTTAGTTGAGGCCTCTCACATTTGTCTCATGTTTTTTCTGTAGGCCCTTTCCTCACGTACAAACGGAGGCTATCAAATTGGCACTAATTTTTGGATTATTAAGAAATTCTGAAGATCGGGTATATGAGGACTTATATGTAACAATGGCGGATGTGAAAAATTACCTTTACGAAACACATTCAAAAAACTGTTTTGGCATCGAGGAAATTTTGATGTGATCTTCGAGATCTGTAGATTATGCCAGAGCCAAACATATTAAATTTTTGTGTGAACTAAACAGTTTTTTAAGCATGTTTCGGAAAGGTAATTTTTCACATCCGCCATTGTTACATATAAGGCCTCATATGATGTGTCCTGAATAAACTTATGATTACCCTCACAGATCGTTAGGCTGACGATCTTTGCAGTCTACAATATCATCGAAGAGCCGCTGTGAAACATCCAGTTCATACATGGGGAAGAGCCTCTTCGTGTAATTTTAAGAAAAGCCCCTTATTTAAAAGTCTTTGATGGTTTTTATGACCCGAAGACAGGCTGCAGCAAAGTGCTTTAATCTCAGAATTTGTTTCTTTTAAAAGGATTTAAACAATTTAGCCTTGAAATAATTTAATGACATTTAATCTTCATACTTTTCAAAACACTTAGGCGGAGTAGTCTCAAAAGGTTTAGTTCGAATATATTTAAACGTTTTTCATGTCATCATTGTCTCTAAAGCAAAAACCACAAGTAATAATTTTAAAAACAAATAATAATATTAAGTCACCATTATATGAGAAACATTTTGAAAATTGTATTTTTTTTAGCGCCTCAACGTTGCTCCAGCTGATGAGCGATAACTGTTTTGAAAAAAAGTTAGAGGCTTACGTTAGACTCGGCTTGACCCCCCTATAACAAGCTTAGACCCCCTTTCTCCTTTAAGGAGCTTAAAGGCAGGAAATCCACCCAATAACATAAACTTACGATTAGACTATTGAACCGTTTATGTCGTATCACTCCTTTCCCAAGCTGTAATTTAAGCTTCGGCTGAAAAAATGCATCTCATTTAAAATAGTTACATTTCCGTGCGGTTCGCTTAAAGTCAGAACAAGTGACAGACGTAATACTTGAACGAGCACTCGGGACATCTCGTTTATCTCTAAAAATACTCAAGCAGGGTTTCCGGCGGTCTGGAAGACATGAAAATACAGGGAATTCAAAGCGACTAGGAAAAATCAGGGAAAATTAAAGAATTCATAGGACGAGTCAGAGAAGTTTCCGAGCAAGAAGCCAATCAGTAGACTGATTATTGACATTGATTGACAAAGCGGTGGACAAAGAAGACCAAAGAGAAAACGAAGCTATCCCATTGGTGAAAGCTGGTGATTACATTGGATGAAGGAGATATCGACGGTGAAACTACCAGACCACGTATCTCGTTTGCGGTGTTTAAAAATCTCCACTGACATTTTATTTTTTTGAAGGAGATCAAATGAATATCATTCCTTACAATTTTCACAGATTTTTCTCCGCACAAAGAGGAAAAATCACGGAAGTTTTCACGAATTGACGTTGAGTAGTTTTCTATT